TCCGTTGCTCGAACAACTCCGCGCTGGGACCAGACGGCATCCCGTATGCCGCATGGCGCGCTCTGGAAGACCTCGCGGTGGATGCCCTCTGCGATGCGGTGTGCGCTCTCTGCTCTCCGGAGGCGCAGGCCGTTCAGGAGGCGGACCTCCCCGACCTCAACGCAAGCCTCCTCATCTTCTTACCCGAGAAGGCCGGAGGCACCACGGAGGAGGGGGGGGGCTGCTCTTCGATCCTGGAGGGGTGCGGCCGTTGTCCATCACCAACACGGACAACCGTCTCATGGCGAGCGCCATCCGGTTCTTGGTGGAGCCGGCGCTGGAACCTCTTATCGCGAGTTCGCAGCGCGGCTTCCTTCAGGGGCGCTCCGTGCTCAGCAACATTATCGACATCGAGGAGTGCATGATCACGACAGCCCTGGAGTCGGAGGGGGGGCTTGCCCTCTTTTTCGACTTCACGGCGGCTTTCCTGTCCGTGGAGCAGCAGGTCTTGCTGGAGTTGTTCCGCGGCCTGGGTTGGCCGGACTGGCTCCTTTCTTTCATCCTGAGCCTGTGCCGCGAGAACACGTGCGAGATCTGCATTGGTGGCGTCCGTTTTCCCGGCATCCCCCTGACGCGCGGCATCAGGCAGGGGCGCCCTCTTTCCCCCCTGCTTTTCGCGGCGTGCTCCGACCTTCTCTTGCGGAAGCTGGCCAGGGACTTCCCGCGCGCCGTTCAAAGGGCGTTCGCCGACGACCTTGCCATGGTGCTTGCGCGGGCTGGGCCGGAGTTGGGAAGGTTGCAGCTCGTGTTCGACGAGTTCGCGCTCCTGTCGGGGCTCGCCTTGAACGTGTCCAAGACCGTGGTCGTCCCAACAGACCCGCTTGATCAGGAGCGGGTGCGAGCCCTCTTGTCCTCTGCAGCCCCGGGCTGGGCCAACATGCTGATCGCGGACGCGGCCAAGTACCTGGGAATCTACCTCGGACCAGGGAAGGGGGCACGGTCCTGGGACGAGCCCACGGCCAATTTTTTTGCTCGCGCTGCCCAGTGGGGGCGCGCTGGTGCCGGCTTGCTGCTCACGGTGCAGGCGCACGAGGCATGCGTCGCATCGGTCATGCTTTTCGTTGGTCAGTTGGAGCCCCCGCCTGGTGGCATGGTGACATCATGGATTACGAAGTCCGCGCCTACCGGAAACTGTTCCCAGGGCCGCGGGGCTGGGCGCCCATGGACGTGCTCAAGGACATGAAGGGCCTGGGGTTTCCGGTCGAGCTCCCCGACCTGTCCTTGACGACGGTTGCGGCGAAGGCCAGGGTAACCAGTTGGGAGGCAGGCGGCAAGTTGCATATCAGGGAGCGGCACGCCAACCTGCACTCCCACGCGAATCATTCCGATGAAGCCTCTCTCGCACGCACCGGATGGCTGCGCAAATGGATCAACGAGTCCATTCTTTCAGCCCTTGCCGCTGCTGCGTCCGAGGTGCGCGCCGCGCGGGACAGGGCGGCGTCGCACCCTCGCTGGCGCCGGAGGGAGGGATGGCAGAAGCATGCCGTGGCCTAGCTTCGTCTTGCACGATTCGGCGCGGCAGGGGCAACTGCTCTCCCCGCGCTGGCCCGCTGCCTGGCGCGATGGCCTGTGCAGCTGTTTCCTCGCCGGCGTCCTGCCGCCGCTTTCCGCGTGCTGCGAGTCGTGGGGGAGAAGTGTCAGCCCCGCGTCTGGGCCGCCGTTTTGCGCCTCTGGTGTCGCGGCTGGTGCACGAGCGCGCGCTTCGGCGGCGATGGCTCCTGTCGCCTTGGCTGCCGTGCATTTCAGGACAGCCTTCGCCACTTAGCCTTCTGCCCTGTCGTGAGCGCCCTCTCTGGCGCCGCCTCTCCCCCAGCGGCGCTCTCGCCTTGGACTGGTTCCTGCATCTGGGAGCTCTGAGGATGGATTCCGATGCCATTGTCCAGTGGGCCCTCCATATTTACAGCCTGTACCGGGTACACAATGCGCGTCGGCATGGGCATTTGGAGGTCACAGACATCGCAGGCGCATATCGTGAATACATGCGCGAAGGCATCCGGGGCGCGGAGCGCCCATTGGCAGAAGGGGTGGCTGCTCATGCTCGCTAGTTTCCGCTATTCCTCCCCTCCCGTCCCCTCCCCTCTGCATGTTCGGATTTTGTGGTAGTTCGTTGCGCTTCGCATGTTTACCAAATCTTCGTGAGGCTCTCCCTCACTAGGTGCCGCCCCCTTGGGCTCGGCCTGGACGTCAGTCTTCTCTGCCTTCTCCTCCTCCGTGCTCTCTTCTTCCTCTTCCCGTTCTCACACACACACACACATCACATGTCCACTTGAGTGTGGCATTTCCGTTTAGTTGGTGCCGCTGGTTCGCCGGCTTGCCTGGGCGACTCGCGTGGGGACCGCCCCACCCTGCAGGATATAAATCGAGGTAGTGTTCATATCGTCTTTCACTCTGCGCCCCTGGCGGCGGATTTAGAGCCATGTTTTGTTGGGAGTGCGTTCTCCTAAGCAGTGGCGGAACATCGCCTGCGACGCCTCCGCCGGCACGAAATTGTCACGAAACCTCTCCTGCGCAGTTCCGTTCACACACGCTGCCATTTGAGGAAAGAGAACCCTAGATGCTCCGAGGGTGGAACAAAAGGGTGGGTGACACTGCCAAATTGGATGTGGGTGACGCACGTGGGCGGTCCCACTGGGGGCTTCGGTGGAGCTCCCGATGGGGCCACGAAGAGCTGTACTGGGTGGGTGAAAATGCCAAATATACATATAACGGCGCACCGGGTCCGGGGGCCCGGGGCCGGGACCTCGACCACAAATGTGCACCCCGGGGGGCCCGGAGGCTCGTCGGGGCTTGCCGGAGGCCTCCCCGGTCAGACAAGACGGCCCCAGGAGCGCCCAAGACGGCCCAAGAAACTTCCAAGAGGCCTCCAAGAGGGCTCCGAGATGCTGAAGATGGCCTCCAGACGTCCAAGGACGCCCCCAAGAGGCCCCAAGAAGCCTCCAACATGCGTCCCAAGAGGGCCCCTAGACGCAAAAATTTGGCCCATTCCCTTCGTAAAACGTACATTTTCAACAAAGTTGTCTTTTGGGCTTTCCGACGTTACAGGACGGCCCAAGAGGCGCCCAAGACCGCCCCAAGACGGCCCAAGAAGCTTCCAAGAGGGCCCCAGGACAGCCCAAGAGGGCCCCAAGACGGCCCAAGAGGCGCCCAAGATGGCCCAAGAGGGCCCCAAGACGGGCCCAAGAGGGGGCCCAGAGGGGGACCACGAACCGCAAGCTCGAGCCTTCCGCCCCAAGAGGCCGCCAGGAGGCCCCCAGGAGGCCCCTCAAGAGGCCCCAGGAGACCCCAGACGTCCAAGGACGCCCCCAAGAGGCCCCAAGAAGCCTCCAACATGCGTCCCAAGAGGGCCCCTAGACGCAAAAATTGGCCCATTCCCTTCGTAAAACGTACATTTTCAACAAAGTCGCCTTTTGGGCTTTCCGACGTTACAGGACGGCCCAAGAGGCGCCCAAGACCGCCCCAAGACGGCCCAAGAAGCTTCCAAGAGGGCCCCAGGACAGCCCAAGAGGGCCCCAAGACGGCCCAAGAGGCGCCCAAGATGGCCCAAGAGGGCCCCAAGACGGGCCCAAGAGGGGGCCCAGAGGGGGACCACGAACCGCAAGCTCGAGCCTTCCGCCCCAAGAGGCCGCCAGGAGGCCCCCAGGAGGCCCCTCAAGAGGCCCCAGGAGACCCCAGACGTCCAAGGACGCCCCCAAGACGCCCCAAGAAGCCTCCAACATGCGTCCCAAGAGGGCCCCTAGACGCAAAAGTTGGCCCATTCCCTTCGTAAAACGTACATTTTCAACAAAGTCGCCTTTTGGGCTTTCCGACGTTACAGGACGGCCCAAGAGGCGCCCAAGACCGCCCCAAGACGGCCCAAGAAGCTTCCAAGAGGGCCCCAGGACAGCCCAAGAGGGCCCCAAGACGGCCCAAGAGGCGCCAAAGATGGCCCAAGAGGGCCCCAAGACGGGCCCAAGAGGGGGCCCAGAGGGGGACCACGAACCGCAAGCTCGAGCCTTCCGCCCCAAGAGGCCGCCAGGAGGCCCCCAGGAGGCCCCTCAAGAGGCCCCAGGAGACCCCAGACGTCCAAGGACGCCCCCTTCCGCTTCCAAGGACGCCCCCACGACGCTTCGCGTCACCAATTTCTTCTCACAACGATTCCTGGGTCTGTGACTCGACAGAACCTAAGCGCGCGCGAAGCGCGCGCGTGGTTCTAGTTGGATGTGGGGGACTCATGCAGGCGGTCCCGATGGGGGCTTCGGTGTAGCTCCCTATGGGGCCACGAAACGTTGTGCTGGGTGGGTGTCAATGCCAAGTTGGGTGTGGGGGACGCATGCGAGCGGTCCCATTGGGGGCTTCGGTGGGGCTCTCTATTGGGCCACGAAATACTGTACTGGGTGGGTGAAACTGCCAAATTGGACGTGGGGGACGCATGTGGGCGGTGCCATTGGGGGCTTCGGTGGGGCTCCCTATGAAGTCACGAAGCGCTGTACTGGGTGCGTGAAAATGCCAACTTGGGCGTTGGGGGGGGGCGCGTGCGGGCGGTTCCACTGGGGGCTTCGGTGGGGCTCCCTATGGGGCCACGAAACGTTGTGCTCGGTGGGTGGAAATGCCAAATTGGGTATGGGGGGCGCATGCGGGCGGTCCCACTGGGGGCTTCGGTGGAGCTCCTTATGTGGCCACGAAACGTTGTACTGGGTGGGTGAAACGCATGGAAGAAGGAGGAGGGAGGGGAGGAGGAGGAGGAGGAGGAGGAGGAGGAGGAGGAGGAGGAGGAGGAGGAGGAGGAGGAGGAGGAGGAGGAGGAGGAGGAGAGGAGGAGGAACGCGGGGCGACGTCTCTTCAAAACGAGGACCCAGCACCACAGGATGGTTGTGACAAAATAGCTCCCCTAGGTGTGATCAGGGGCCGTTGTTTGGGATTGCTTTGGTCGAGGCATCATCACGTGAGCAGTTTGCCCCTCTTAGCTTCAGCTGCGGCAAAGGATGTTCGCGTCCTTCGCGGCAACACGACTAGACAAGGCATGAACAGTTTAGGGGCCATTGGTTGGCGCCAGATGCCTTCGACTTATTTCTGGGATCTTGAGCGCAGTAGTGCAGGGGCGGGCCCATGTTCTATAGCACCCACGGCATGTGGCAATGGTGTCAACGTTTCGTTGCAGGCTTGTCGCCCTGTGGCCACAGTTGGGTGCCATGGCCGCAACACTCCTGTGCCTCTCTCTTGCTGCTGCCCATCCTCCGCTTCTAGCGTGTGGGGTGCTCTGGGGTCCGTCTGCCTGGGGATCGCCGCGTGCCGTATGCCACGCCAGCGTGCATGAGCGTATACCTTCTTACCCAGACCCCCGCGATGTGAAACAATCACGACGGAAGGTGTTTCGCAATATTCGGCTTCTGGGAGCCATTTCCCGATCTCGGGGCCGTCAAAAAAACGATTCAGGTTGAGAATCCAGTCCTGGGGAATGGGTCGAGACCTCTGGGGGTCGTCGTTGTGACAACAATCGTGACGTCGGGGGGGCTGGGTAGGTTGCAATCTCATACGACATGCAGTGCGAAAAGGGAGCGGCACATCAGAGGAGTGGTGTGCGTAGTTTTGGCGCGAGCAAGATGAATGCCGCGCAAAGCACGCGATTGGATGTAGTGCGAACGTATGCTCGCGAGCGCAAGTTCCACTTATGTCCAGTCTCTCAGGCTTGAGAATGCGCACGGGGTCCCCGATCGACTTGCAATTCAACAGTCGCGACGCCCTCTCCTGCAATTGCAACAGGAGTGGAACCGCGGTGCTCAGATGACGCCTGGGGAGGACTTCGTGTTCGTGAAGGATATTATCGATTGCGTGCTAGGCAGAGCGAGCGCGAAGATGCTTTGTACACTTTTCGCTTGGCGCTCTCGCACCGTGTCCGATGCTGAGGAGTTTCCATTTGCAGCTATATGCGGCGGACCTGGCGATCATGTCAGCGCATAATGTTGACAGCGCATGTTTGCCTCATCGTGCGCCAGTCATGGTTCCACCATTGGACTACGTTTCCGTTCTAGTTCTCTATAGACTCTTCCAGTTTCGGTGGGCCCCCAACACGGTATTGGGCTGTCTTGGGGCCGATGGCCCTATTGAGCTCTCTAGAAGGTGTCCGGTATCAGTAGAACTTTGCCTCTGTGCCCATCCGGGCCCCCCAGCGCTGATGGGTATAAATGTTGTTATACGGCGCCCTATATCGGTTTACATTGCCGATCTCTTCTGATTTGGGCACGGTTGTTCGACCGATACCTTCTGATTTGGCGCAGTGGTTCACCGAGCTCTCGTAAGAAGGCTCGTTGTAGCCGTTGTGGGGCTGTCAAGACAAGCACTGGGCCGTCCTCGACCAGCTCCGGGGCGGTATTGGGCTGTCCTTGGGATTCCCTGAGCCCTCGTGGGCCTTCTCGGGTTCGTCCTGGAGTTGTCTCGGGGCTGGGCAGCCTCGGCGGGCTCCTCAGAACAGCATCGGGGCCTTCGGAGGCATTCCTGGCGCAGGTGTAAACCCTTGGCGCCGCGTGTGCATCTTATCTCGGCGAGGAGCACCTTGGATCGTCTTGCGAAACCGAAGATCCACGCGCGAAAAGCAGAGACACGCACGGAGGATGGACGTGTCCGAGCGACGGCAAGAGCCCGAGAGAAGCAGGGGGCGCGGAGAGTACGGCCGGACCGAGGTATGTAAGATCGAGGCCGGTTCGGAGAGGGCACCCTAATCGGCGGCGCACGAGGGGGGGAGCGAGAAGGAGAGGGCCTTCTCGGAAGGCGGCAGGACTTCTCAGAAGCCCTCGAGCCTTCTGAGAGGTTGTCTATGTCTTCGGGGAGGGCTTAGAACACTTCTCAGAAGACGGGGGGACTTCCGAGCCTTCTGAGAAGGCCCGCCCCTTCTCACTTCCCCCCGAGCTCGCCGCCCACCTAATGTTCTTCGCGTGTGTGTGTGTGTGTGCGTGTGTGTGTGTGTGTGTGTGTGTGTGTGTGCGTGTGTGTGTGTGTTGGATGTCCTTGTGCATCCTAGGGGAGGGTACCCTCGAGTGATCTCATGGTTTGGGAGTGTTTTGGCCGGCGGAGGGTCTCATGTTCTTGGACGATGTTCTTCTCTCCTTAGTCCAGCTGTAGTTTGAAAGCTATATGTTCCAAGTCGGTCTCATGGTTTGGGGTGTTTGGGCTGGCGGAGGGTCTCATGTCCTTGAAGGATGCTCCTTCTGTCCTTGGTCCGGCTGCAGCTTGAAAGCCAAATTGATTCGCAGTCGGTAGAGCCATGCTTGTACGGAGCCCTGGCTGCCATCCCCTGGTCTTCTTTTGGGACGCTGTGCGCGTCGTTGCCCTCCCTGCCCTCTCTCTCACAGATGCTCGGCATACGTAACCGTTTATGGGCTGCGGTTCTCGAGCTGTCTTGGGAGGCTATCGGGTTAGCTTGGGGCCTTCGAGGGGCCATCAAAGCCTTCGCGAGGCTTTCCGGGATCCTTTTCGGGCCCGCGGGAGCCATCTTACGTCAGCATCTCGGAATGCGAACATACTGAAACAAGATTACGCGTTCGCTTTGTTTGGCATGATGTTGGCCTCACAGGGACCTGATGGGTAGCCTTGGGAGCTTGTCTCTTGATGCCTCGTGGTGACATCTTCGGGCCCATGGTATATCTTCAGGCCGTTTGCGGTATAATGCAAGTATTTGTTCAAGACGAGGTGCCAGAAGGCCAGAAGGGTGAGCCGCTCTTTGAAAAATGCAATCATCCTACTCGAGAGCCAACAGGCATTCTAACACACCTCAGCATGCCGCTGAGTATGAGGCAGGCGGTTGGGAGCCCAGCAGCGTGAAACCCAGAGAAGGAGAGAGAGGTAGCATGAGGTAGCGCTCGAGTGACGGCGACCTTCGTCCCGTTCCCCCATCGTTCCTGCTAATCCCTCCTCATCCATGCTTCTCACTCCTGCGCCTACTTCCTCTTCCTCCGCCTCCTCCATTTATTCCTCCTCCTGCTCCTGCTGCTCCTCCTCCTCCTGTTGCTCCTCCTCCTCTTCCTCCTCCTCCTCCTCTCCTCCTCCTCCTCCTCCTCCTCCTCCTCCTCCTCCTCCTTCTCCTCCTCCTCCTCCTCCTGCTCCTCCTGCTCCTCCTGCTCCTCCTGCTCCTTTTCCTCCTCCTGCTGCTGCTGCTGCTCCTCCTCCTCCTCTTCCTCCTCCTCCCCCCCTCCCCCTCCTCCTCCTCCTCTTCCTCATCCTGCGGCGGCGCCTGCGGTCCCAGGAACCACTTTGATTTCGCGCGACCTGTCTGCTTGGCAGGATCTTTTTGCCACCCGCCTTGGCGAGGTCGAGTCCGATGCCAGGAAGCAGGCTACGCGAGAATGGGACGAGTGGCTCCTTCATCGGGCCGACCAGGGGGCGAAGCGGATCCACATGGTCTCGAAGGGCCCCACCTTTGGGTCCTCACGACCACCCTGTCCGAGGACGGGGTGGTCGTGGCGGACCCCATGTCCCTGCTGAAAGCCGAAAGTGTTCGTTTCTCGGATCTCTGGATGGATGGTCGCCTTGAACCGTGGTTCCCCCAGGGGGTTCAGACCGCGCTCCTCCCCCCCTTTCGAAGTGGATGACGTTCGCACCATCTCTCGCAAGTTCCGTGACAACACGGCGGTCACTGCCGATGGTTTTCACATGCGCTACGTTTGCCTGATGAGCGACCCAAAACCGTTAGTGTTAGGTCGGGCATGTCCTCGTACAGAGGAATCTTTGGAGGAAAAATACAACATAGTCCAAAGCTGTTCCGAAATAGTAGGAAAACATCGTCCGTGGGTTTTTTTGACTACTGTATTTCTGGATATTCCTCCTGTAGAGGGAGGCGCACGACTTAACGTTAGTGCCCCATCATCCCTCTTGTCACGACGTACACCAGGCGGGCACGCGAAGAGATGGTCCGGCGTGCGGCTTGGAGTTGGCCACCTTGTGATCCCCAGTCTGCGCTCCAGAGGTCAGTCTTGCCTAGGCTCACTCTTGCGTGTAGCCCCAAAACCGTTTGTGTCCCATCATCCCTCTTGTCGGCGGCGAGCGATGGGGGGAAGAGAGAAGGAGAAGGCCTTCTCAGAAGGCGGCAGGATTTCTCAGAAGCCCTCGCGCCTTCTGAGAGGTTGTCTATGTCTTCGGGGAGGGCTTAGAGACTTCTCCGAAGGCTGGGGGACTTCCGAGCCCTCTGAGAAGGCCTTCTCCTTCTCACTTCCCCCCCCCTCGCTTGCCGCCGACTCTTGCCACGACGTGCACCAAGCGTGCACGCAAAGAGCTCGTCCGGCCTGCGGCGCGCACCCTCGTGCTTCAGACGCCCTCGTGCTTCGCGCATAGACTTCGGAAGCCTGTGCACGAGGCGTTCCAGGAAGGGCTTCGCCTTCGAGGATCGAGGGAGTTGGCATTCCTTCCTCGGCGGAAGGCAGCGGAAGGTCGGCGGAAGGCGGCGGCCTTAAACCCAGGCCGCCTCCGCCGGCGGAGGCCAGCGGAAGCCTCCCGCTCGCGGTATCCCGCGCGTGTGGCCCAAGCTCAATCTCGTTCGAGCGATCCCCATCCTGAGACCCCCTGGAGTCGCGAAAAAGTCACGGCGGGAGGTTTCCCCCCATTTTCAACTCCTGCCCTCTGGGGGCCTTTGCCCGGTCTCGGGGCCGTCGAAGAAGGGCTTGGGATGAAGAACGGGTCCCGGGGAATGTGTGCAGACCGCTCGGGGTGTACGTCATGAAAACATCATGACGTCGGCGGTCTGGGTCCCGATCCTTGCCATCCCACCACCCCAGTTGGGGATACATCCCTCGAGGCTCGAAGGGGCCAGCCCATATCCCCATCTCAGGGGGGCAGATCGGCCAGTGGTGGGGCCCGGGCCACGCCAGCGGGGATAGGGATCGGTCAAACGATGTTCATGAGCGTTGACCGCCGTTTGGGGCCGAGGCGCTGGAATCGCAGAATGAACAACGGCATCAAGTTAGCTTCTCGGAGGTCCTCAGGGATGTTTTGGATCTGCGCACTCCGCGCGCGAGGGACGGGGGTCCAGCGCCGATCGAAGAACTCCGCGCGGACTCTCGAGAAATTACGTCGATGCAGTTCTTGATGGTCTGCGATGGAATCACGATCATGCTCCTTGATCTGGATTTGATGCTGTCCTCTTTGGGGCACGCGCTGGACGCGAACACACTCGTGAACGATCATGCGAACAAGCGAACACGTTTGAAACGAGTCTTGTAAAGACCCCAGCAAGGGTGGACTTGTGCCATGGCGGTCATGCTGGTGTTCGGATGTGTGAGGGGTGTGCAGGTCTCGTTTTGCGTGGTATCACCTTGTTGTTGTTCATATCATTAGTATTACGATTACTATCCGTATGAGTATACTTGCTCTTAGTATCGTTGCTCTTATGAGTTGTATTATATGATCTGTATTAGTATCACGACCGTTATCAAATATTTTGCTTCGTAGTATTAGTATGGTTATGCATATTCGCATTCGCATCCTTACCAGTATTATTAACATGTGTTGTACTATGGTTCATCCGTGTTTTATCATGTATGGGTTAAGGTATTTGTTCATGTATTCATGTACCTGTTCATTTGTTGTAAGAATCATAAGTATCCTTACCAGTAATGTCATTCACAATATTTTCTCATTATTAATCGTACCTATAACCGTAGCATTACTAATGTTATTATCAGTGCTGGTATCATTCATACTATTTCGATTAGTTGTTATTCAATCGCTTCGCTCACTCCGCCGGCCCGTATTGCATGATCGCTATTGCTTCGGCGCGGGCTCGGGGCCATTTCGGCGCCGCCGGAAGGAGGAATATGAGGACGGGGAGGGGGAGGGGAGGAGGACAAGCTAGGTGCGCTCGCGTCATATCTGACATCCTACCCCTCCCTCCCATCGCTTACCATGGCGTAGATCCCCTCTCTACTCGCACAGTAGGATGTCGAGCAGGGCAATGATCCCGAAAGGGTACGCGATGCATTGTAGAGCACGGCATGGCATGGCGTAGAAGAGCACCGCAAAGCGTAGTATCAACCTAGCATTGCATTGCATGCCGTGGCATGGCACGGGAAATGACGCCAGCGCTGCAGCGGGAGCACGAGTCGAAACGAGCGGAAGCGCGGAAATGAGGCCAGCGCTGCAGCGGGAGCACGATTCGGAACGAGCGGAAGCACGGAATGAGGCCAGCGCTGCAGCGGGAGCACGATTCGGAACGAGCGGGGCCCGAAAATGAGGCCGGCGCCTCAGCGAGAGCAGCATTTTGGAAAAAATGCAGGCGAAAACCCAACTCCGGGGAAACCTGTGTAAAAAACAGTACGCGGGGGGAGGGTCGGACACTCCCATGCCGTCATCAGGGGAAGAGGGAGAGTAGAATTCATATAGAGTGATTGTGAAGAGGATGAGAAGGAACGGAGGAGGATGAAGATAAATATCAGGAGGAGGAGGAAGAGAAAAGGGCGGAGGAGGAAGCCTCTCGATGGCATCTTGCGGCACTCTTGGGGCCAAACAGGGCCGTCGTCCAGATGCTTCTTTGGGAGGCCCTGGGGTCTGTTGAGAGGCCGTTCGGGGGCGCCTGGGAGACATTTTTGAAGCCTTGTAGGGCCTCTTTTGAGCCTCCTTGGAGCCTCCTGGGGTCTCTTGGGGGCCTCTTGGCGGCATCTTGGGCCATCTTGGGGGCCTCTCGGGGCCTCCTGGGGCCCTCTTGGGGCGGAAGGCTTGAGGTTTCGGTTCGTGGTCCCCATCTTGGGCCCCTCTTGGGGCCGTCTTGGGGCTCTCTTGGGCCGTCTTGGGCGTCTCTTGGGCCGTCTCGGGGCCCGTTTGGGCTCTCTGGGGGCCTTCTTGGGGGCCTCTTGAGCCGTCTTCGTGCGCTCTTGGGGGCCTCTTGGGCCGTCTTGGAGCATCGGAAATCCGAAAATGCGACAAGGCCAAACTACTTCCAAAACCGTCGTAAAATTGATGATTTTGGCCTCTCGGGGCGCTCTGATGAGGCCTCTTGGAGGCCACTTGGAGAGTCTTGGCGGCTTCTTGGGCCGTCTTGGGATCACCTTCGGCGTCTTGGAGCGTCCTTTGGGCGTCTCGGGGGCCTCTTGGGCAGTCTTGGGGGCCTCTTGGGGCCCTCTTGGCGCGCTCTGGGGGGCCTGAGAGGCCGTACCCAGGAGGAAAACCATCTCTGAGTAGACCTTCCCGGGACCTTCCCGGGCTGAGGTCGGGGTACTTTTCGCCGGGGGACCCCCAGGGGCCGCCCCGCGCGCCCGAATTAGAAGAATTGTGAACCAGTTACCGGAGATCTTAGCACGCCTCTGGCCCGTTGGGCCTGCGAATTTCGATTAGTTGTTATTATTATCCTGCGTGCGCACTGGTTGCGTGATGGACGGCGGAATCGCTAAGACATGGAAGCAAGGGCCAAGGTAAGGGGAGCGAGCAATGTTTGCCAGAATGGTTGTCAAAGCGAAGCAGAAGCATTTACCGTGTTGCAAGTTCCATATTTCTGGCCGCTCCGTTTCGAAGGACGTAGGCAAGTACTGCGCGCTCCAGTCCGGCCGCGCCAACCCCAAAACTTGGTCGTTGGCGCTCGAATGCCGCAACTTCCAGGACGTCGATTTGATCAGCATCTCCAGCGCGTCCCTACCCTGACATCGTTCGACTGTTCCTGCTGACTTCATCCATTTGCTGGGCGCAGTCAAGCACAACCCACAGTGTGACCAACTTGATGTCGAACCTGCCCTGGTTCATCCATTGTGTTGTCATGCTGTCCCTTCCAGTATTGGCAGTTCGCTTCGGCTTGCCTCACCTGTCGGTTCCCTCGTCTTGACCCCGCATTTGGCTCGTTGCAGCCAGGCGGCCGTTTGCGACACCCCTCGTGCGTGCTCTCTTCGCGCCTTCCCTCCTCCCTGGGCCAGCACTTTCCCTTCTCCCCCCTCCTGATTCCCCTCCTCTGCGATGGCTTCCACTGGGGAGTGCGAGGGGACATGAAGAGAGCAGGGCAGGGCCTGGGGCAAAGGGATGAGGATGACGAGAAGGAGGATGACGAAGAAGAAGAGGAATAATAATAATACTAGCAATAATTATCATAAGAAGAATAAGAAACATATGGCGGGTCCCTGCCTCCTCCCTCCCCTCCCCTTCCTCTCTCTTCCCCTTCCCTCCCCCTCCTCTTCACCGATCCCTCACCTCCCCCTCACCTCCTCCTCGCCTCCCCTCGCCTCCACTCCTCCCCGCCTCCCTTCCCCCCGCCTCCACCCTTCCCTTCCCCTCCCCAATTACAGTCAACCATGATAGTAAGGATGGGGCAACTTGGCCAGGGTACCCTTGCATCCTTGCCCCTTCGGTGCATCCTTGCCAAGTTTCACTGGCCAGCCCTTCAGGGTACCCTTGCATCCTTAGGTTGCGCGGCGCGACGCCCCTGGAGGCCAATCCTGACGGATTTTGGATGGGCAGGGTACACTTTGCCATCCTCGGGTCCGGTGTTGCCATCCTTACATTCCCGGGGCCGCGGCCCCAAGGATGCGCGACGCGCAGGGTACTTGTGCTCATCCTTGGGCACGTCTTCCTTGCCCTCCCAGTCATGGGTGGGCACGGCTCTGGGGATGCTGGATGGGCAGGGTACCCTTGTCCATCCTCGGGCCCGGTGTTGCCATCCTTACATTCCAGGGGCCGCGGCCCCAAGCCCCAAGGATGCGCGACGCGCATGGTACTTGTGCTCATCCTTGGGCACGTCTTCCTTGCCCTCCCAGTCATGGGTGCTACTCCCTCCTGCCCTGACAGCGGCGCCCCTGCCACTCTGGCGCGCTGCTCCCCACCCGACAGGTTGGGGCTGAACAAAAGCCAGCGCGCCGGCCACGCGCGCCGCGGCTGCCGGGCCCCAGTCGCCCCGGCGGGCCCCGAGTCTCCCGCCCCCGCGCTGCAAAGGCAGCGCGCGATGTGGCGTCGCCGGCCCGCTTACTACGCGCAGGGGGGCGGCGTGCACAGAAGGGGCCTTCGCGGGGGGATCGCCTCAAGATCGAGAAGGCCAAGTTCTTGGAAGAGCATCCCGACGAGAAGCAGCAAGTGGACCAGGCCTACTCGAGCGCAAGGGACAAGTACAGGGCCATCCTCATCAACAGTTCCGCCGTCGAGGGCTGGTTCGGCCCGAGCTGTCGGATAGCGCGCTTTTCGGAGATCGATGCTGCGCGCCATCTCTGCTGCGCCAGTGGCCCCAACGGTCCCCAGATCTCCCGCCACGCCGGTCCCCGAACAAAGCAGCGCCACAAGCACCCCCGGGTTAATTAGACGTGACAGGCGTCATGACACCACGCCGTCCACAGACATCCCCCCTCCCTCCCTCCCCCCTCCTTCCCTCCTCATCCTCTTCCATTTTCTGCTCCTCCTCCTCCTCCTCCCTCCTCCTCCTCTTCCTCTTCCTCCCTCTCCTCTTTCTCCTCCTCCTCTTCTTCCTCGTCCTTTCCCTCCTCCTCTTCTTCTCCTCCTCCTCTTCAGAACGTGCGTCCATCGCGTCAAAACGGACGCGCATAGCATGCGCGGTGACTGGGTACCAGGGACAGGCATAGGCACCGCGCGCGGTGAGCGCGCGCAAACCACATGCATCGAACACGCACGTCAAGAAAGTGCACGAACAACAGGAAGCTCGAGCGTGCTCTGGACGACAAGCAGCCGACCGCCGCGCACATCAGCAACGCAGTCCGTTACGAAACAGGCACGCCAGTCACGCGCGACGTTGGCGAGCTTCAGCGGCATGTAGCAATGGGAGGCAGCAGCGCCATGCATCCATCGCGCACGCATCACCCCTGTATACCCAGACTCGGCATCGGCAACATTCCCTAGCCCCGGACATCGACAGCGCGCATCGAGCACGATAACCCGATAACGTAGCAACACAATGCATCCATACCATGCATCAAGCACATACACCATTGATGTGGTGGGGACAGTCAACAGATAACCCTAGCCAGCGTCAAGCATTTACGCATGTGGTGCCACAAGCCCACTGGCATGACTTACGCGGCGCGTCGTACGAGCGCACAGTGGTAGCACGCACGAGCAATCTGCACACGTAGAACATCACGCGCTCGTGCCAAGCATATGAACCCTCGCAGCGACCATGCGGTAACATTCTGGCGACTGATCACATTGTACGTAGTGTCGCGCGCGCACGATTCGAATTCATTCGCTGGCGGGGATCGTTCGAAACAAAATATGTCGCACGCGCGTGGTTGCGCCCATTGATGGCATGATACGGTTGTTTTGACCGCAGCGCCCTCGGCCTTTCAATCATGGCGCTCCAGTTGCAGCGTTGGCCACATTTCAGGATCAGCGCTTTGCTCCCGCCATTCAGGGCGGAGCTCTCGCCCCAACGTGGGACAGATTTTTGGATTTGATGTCTACCTCGTCGTTTCCGCCCCCCTCCTTTCCGTTCCTTCGCCTTTTCCCTGGTTCTCCTGGTTTTTGGCTGCTGTTGCTCCTGCCTCCTCTGCTGCTGTTGTTGAAGCCGGTCGAAACGGAGGGCCGCGCGTTTTCGCTTGAGACTCCCTCGTCACTTATGACCCTGGAACTTACACAACGGTAGCAGCTTCAAAGATGGAGAGCGGGCGGTTTTCAAAATATGGCTTTCGCCTCAGCGCCGCGACATTCGCTTGACAAGTTCAAGGGTTTCACGCATTGAAGGCGGGTGGTTTCCAAAATGCGGCTCTCACGTTCGCGCCGCGCACATTCGTTTCAAAAAACTGCAAGAGCTTCGCGGATTGAGGGCGGACGCTTTTCAAACTGAGGCTCTCACTGTAGCGCCGCGCGCATTCGTTTAAACATATGCAAGAGCTTCACGGATTGAGGGCGGCTTGTTTTCAAAAGAAGGCTGTGCAAGCTCCTCGGCACCGCCTGCACCCCGGCCCGCCTTCCGGCCGCCTGAGGCCCCGCCCGCCTGTGTTCTGTCTCCCCAATTAAAGCTTTGCGTAGCCCGCCTAGTTTTTAACCGGAAGAGGCTCGCTCTCGACCCGCAGACCAACAAGTTTTCAAAAGGAGGTTATCTTCGTAGCGCCGCGCGCTTTCGACTCACAAATTTGCACGAGCTTCGCGGATTGAAGGCGGCTCGACTCCAAAATGTGATTTTCGCGGTAGCGCCGCGCGCATTCGTTGTAAAAGTTTGCAAAGGCTTCACGGATTGAGGGCGGTGCCCTTCAAAATGTGGTTCCCGCATTAGCGCCGCGCGCATTCGCTTCAAACGTTTACGCAGTCCCATTCGTTTTCATGATCAACGTGCCACAAAATTGGGTGCTGCATTGGTTCATTACTGTCAGGGCGCAACAAATTACGCTGATTCGCTGTGTTGAAGTCCTTGGAGTGGTGTTCTGGCACAACTCAGGAGCGCCAGTACCTCGCAATCAGCTGAACTCTTGGCGTCGAAGTCCTGAGAAATGTGTTCGGGCACGTTTCAGGATTTTCACAAGGTTGCCCCCCACCGGGGCAATTCCTTCAGTGGATACGAGCCCTTGTAGGGGCCTATGAAGAGGGAACTTGGAGGCGGGGTGTATTCAAACATCGCTGATGAGTCGTAGGTTCACACTGGTCCTAATCCTCCTCCTCCTCCTCCTCCTCCTCCTCCTCCTCCTCCTCCTCCTCCTCCTCTTTCGTCCTCGTATTCCTGCTCATCGTCTTGCTCATCCTCCTGCTCATCATTCCGTTCATCCTCCAGCTCCTCCGCCACCGCCTCCTCCAATGTACAACGCCCTCTTCAATTATGTGCAGCACACGATTTGGGGATCAAGGTCCAGTAGATCACCCTAGTTGGCGGATATAACAACATCCAGTGCAATGTAAAAGGGATGGTCTTGAAGAGTAGGGAGGCAGACGTGGCGTGAGCGCACCTAGCTTGCCCTCCCCGCCGCGGCCTTTACATGGGACGAGAGCAGGAGCGTGCAGGATGGAAGGCGGAGGGGGGAGGGGGGGAGAGGAGACGCAGAGGAACGGAGGACGGAGACGGCGAAGAGAAGTGGGAGAGAGTAGGGAGGAGGGGGGATGACGGGGGTCCTTCTGCTCTCGCGGCCTTTCTGCGCATCTAGCAACGGGCATTCCTCGTCGTGCTTGCGCTCGCGCGAAGGATGGCCTCGGTCGGGACATATTGTTTCAGGACGGGCCTTCTCTCTCTCATTTTCTTGCTATCTCTCTATTGCTCTTGCTCTCATGTTTTTGCTCTTGCTCTTGCTCTTGCTCTCTCTCGCTCTCTCTTCTTTTCCCCCAATCAGTGCTTGCACTGAAGGGGTCCTAGCGCAAGTTGAAGGATTTGGCGAAAGTTCCCCGCCGATTTTGGTGGCAGGCTGGGTTCCTGGGTTCCAGGGTTCCCAGTTCTGGGTTCCCAGGTTCCCCGTTCCGGGTTCCGGGCCGATTTCGGAGGGCGGCGAAGTTCCCGGGTTCCCGGGTTCTTGGTCGATCTTATCGATCACCGACTTCTCGATCGATCTCACCATCGATCTCGCAATCGATCTCATTAGCAATCTCACACGTGATCTCACTAGAGATCTCACGAGCGATCTCGCGATCGATCTCACTATCGATCTCATTGAATCGATTTCACTCTCGGTCTCACGATCGACCTTACAGTCGTCCTCACTATCGATTCCACTATCACAATCGATGTCAAGATCCATAGTGACAGTTTTCGAATCATCATCTGATTGGGTTTTCTCTGGTGTAATGTATTATTTTTGTTTCTCTCTCTCTCTTTCTCTCCTCCCTCTCTCACTAGCTGTTTTTTTCTCTGCAGGGCTAAGAAAAACACAAGGACATAAGGCCGTAGGATAATAGAGTTTTGAGGGGTGTAGTAAGCCAAGGTCACGACAGAAGTGTTCGGCAGAGAGCATCCCCTGGATCTGTTGGACAATGCGCGATCGCCGCAGCTATCTTGCAGGATGGGCAGGGGTGGAGCCGTGCGGATCGTGTGTGCAGCGATGCCCATGCATAAAGGTGTGTAGGTGCCCTCACACGGGCCGAACAATTGAACTCCATGGTCACGCTAGCGTGCTCCATGCGCGCAGGGAACGCGCAGGGAACAATATGCCTTGGCTTGGCAGGAGCGGCTGTTCGTGATGTCACGGCCGCGGGTGTTCCGGAAGTACAGCCGCATATTAGGCCAATCTCTTTTTCTGTGCCACAGCCAGCATGTTGCAAATGTTGCGACGACCGGGCCATGCATTCCGTGTTGCAATCCAAGTCCACGACATGCGGCCATGATCCTACGGGAGAAAATCGGCAAAACCTCGGATCTGAAAGTTAAAGACGATTGGGCACCAGACGTGCGCTTGTAAAAGGGCATCGGGACCTTGAAGATAGGCACTGGTTTCCATTTAAGTGCCATTCACATGCAAACACGTCGGCCCGATGTAGTTTGAGCATATATATATAATATATAATATAATATATATATATATATAATATATTAAATGTCTATATGTGTAGTATGTAAGTATGCATGCATGTGAATTTGAAATGCATGTAGGTATGTTAGTAACGTAGTTACGTAGTTATAGTATGTATATACATATAACGGCGCACCGGGTCCGGGGGCCCAGGGCCGGGACCTCGACCACAAATGTGCGCCCCGGGGGGCCCGGAGGCTCGTCGGGGCTTGCCGGAGGCCTCCCCGGTCAGACAAGACGGCCCCAGGAGCGCCCAAGACGGCCCAAGAAACTTCCAAGAGGCCTCCAAGAGGGCTCCGAGATGCTGAAGATGGCCTCCAGACGTCCAAGGAGGCCCACAAGAGGCCCCAAGAAGCCTCCAACATGCGTCCCAAGAGGGCCCCTAGACGCAAAAATTGGCCCATTCCCTTCGTAAAACGTACATTTTCAACAAAGTTCTCTTTTGGGCTTTTCGACGTTACAGGACGGCCCAAGAGGCGCCCAAGACCGCCCCAAGACGGCCCAAGAAGCTTCCAAGAGGGCCCCAGGACAGCCCAAGAGGGCCCCAAGACGACCCAAGAGGCGCCCAAGATGGCCCAAGAGGGCCCCAAGACGGGCCCAAGAGGGGGCCCAGAGGGGGCCCACACGACGAACCCCGAAAGAATCGGAGCCTTACCGCCACACAAGAGGCCGCCACAGGACACCGAGAGCCCCACCCACAGGAGGCCACGCTCACAGAGGCACCACAGGAAGGCGAACCACAGACGTCCTAACGGAGGACCAAGAGAGACCAAGAAGCCACCAACATGGCGTTACAAGGAGGGCCCCTCGACGAAAGAATTAGCCACAGCCCCATTTCCCTCGTAAAAAGTAAAGAACAATTCTTAAAAAAAATCCGCCGATTGGGCTTTCCGACGTTACAGGAGGCCCAAGAGGCGCCCAAGACCGCCCCAAGACGGCCCAAGAAGCTTCCCAGAGGGCCCCAGGACAGCCCAAGAGGGCCCCAAGACGGCCCAAGAGGCGCCCAAGATGGCCCAAGAGGGCCCCAAGACGGGCCCAAGAGGGGGCCCAGAGGGGGACCACGCACCGCAAGCTCGAGCCTTCCGCCCCAAGAGGCCGCCAGGAGGCCCCCAGGAGGCCCCTCAAGAGGCCCCAGGAGACCCCAGACGTCCAAGGACGCCCCCAAGAGGCCCCAAGAAGCCTCCAACATGCGTCCCAAGAGGGCCCCTAGACGCAGCCCAAGAGAGGCCCACGAAGCAAACATCGTGCCATTCGTTAAAATGGATGACAAAACGTCTTTAATTTTTCGCATGTTCGCACTCGTGGGCTTTCGCCGGTCCAAGACGGCCAAAATAGGCGCCAAAGACACGCCACAGCCGGCCAAGAAGCTTCCAAGAGGGCCCCAGGACAGCCCAAGAGGGCCCCAAGACGGCCAAGAGGCGAGACCAAGATGGCACAAGACGAGGGGCCCCAAGACGGGACCAAGAGGGGCCCCAGAGGGGGACCACGAACCGCAAAAGGCTCGAGCCTTCCGCCCCAAGAGGCCGCCAGGAGGCCCCAAGGAGGCCCCTCAAGAGGCCCCAGGAGACCCCCAAGAGGCCCAAAGGAGGCCCCGAGAAGCCCCAAATCTGCCCCCAAAATGCTTCGAACCTGCTTCCAGGAGGCCCCCGACAGGTTCAGAGGCTCCCGAGAAGCTACGTCAAACTCCCAGCGAGCGGCCGGACGAGGCCCCCACAAAATCACAAGAGGGTTCCAGTATTTGTATCCTTCAGCGCTCTCTGGCCTTCTTCCCCCTGCCCCCTTCCCTGCGACTTTCGTTGACTCAAGCTCGCCTCCTAGCTAGAACCTAAGCGCGCGCTAAGCGCGCGTGGTTTAACTAGTAAATAATAATTATAGTATAATAATATATATATATATATATGTATGGGTATACAGGCCTAACGGGGGGCGTGCCGAAAATGCGAGTTGTATAATGTTATGTTGTGATTGTATGCGTACTCTTCTCTTGTATGATGTTGTGTTGTGGTTTGCTGTTGTGTTGTGTTATGTTGCTCCCGCCTGAGAGGCCAACTCCAGAGCACAGAAGCAGAGGAGCAGAACACCTCCTCCTCCTCCTCCTCCTCCTCCTCCTCCTCCTCCTCCCAATCAGGATCCCCTTACGGGGGGGGGGGGGGGGGGGGGGGGGGGGGGGGGGGTGGAAAAAAGATCAAGCAACAAAAAAAAACCTTGCCAGGCGTTCAAAACGAGGCTCCCGCCTGAGAGGTCCCCACAAACACACCCAAAAGGAAGCTCCCGCCTGAGAGGTCCCAAACAAAACACTCAAAACGAGGCTCCCGCCTGAGAGGTCCCCAAAAAACCCAAAGAAATCCAAGAGCCACCCCTCTCATACCTGTAACTGTCACAAAAAACAAAAAAAACAAAGTTTCAGAGGAGACCTCCTCCCCCCCCCACTTCCTCCTCGTCTTACCTGCCCCCCCTCGGTGGAGTTCTCCTCTGAAACTTTGGTTTTGTTTCTAGTTTTTTGGGACAGTTACAGGGATGAGAGGGGTGGCTCTTGGATTTCTTTGGGTTTTTTGGGGACCTCTCAGGCGGGAGCCTCGTTTTGAGTGTTTTTTTGGGGACCTCTCAGGCGGGAGCTTCCTTTTGGGTGTGTTTGTGGGGACCTCTCAGGCGGGAGCCTCGTTTTGAGTGCGTTTTGGGGGACCTCTCAGGCGGGAGCCTGAGGGAGCCATGAGGGAGCCATGGGGGGAGCCATGAGGGAGCCGTGAGGGAGCCATGAGGGAGCCGTGTATGGAGTGGGGTGGGGGGAGGCGGGTTGGGGGGCATAACGGCACCTCGCGCTTATGAGGTTTTCAAGTTTCGGGACCTTTCCCCGAGGCCGAGGGCCCAGCTCCTGAGCGAGGAGGCAGTCCCGTGGGCGTCGGCGACACCTCGTGCGCCTCCTCATCTCCCTGCTCCTCGCCCTCCTCCTCCTCCTCCTCCTCTTCCCCCTCCAGCTCCTCCTCCTCCTCCTCCTCCTCCTCCTCCTCCTCGTTCTCCGAATTCCTCTCCTCAGATTACTCTTTTCCCTTGGTCCTCATCGCCCCCCCCTCCTCCTCCTCCGCCTTGTCGGCCACCATCGCATCACTTTCGGGTCTTAGGTCGGGCCTCCGGAACGTTCTCGGCGAGGCAAAGCAGCTCCTCAAGAGGTTTCCCACTCAATTTTGACCATCGTCATCGACAGCATCTTGAAAAACATAGTTGTCATCATCATCGTCATCGGCACTCTCTTGAAAGCCATGCTCGTCATCAGCGTGGTCATCGACAGCATCTTGAGGCTGATGCACGTCATCAGCATCGTCATCGACAGCATCTGGAAAATCATAGTTGCCATCATCATCGTCATCGGCACTCTCTTGAAAGCCATGCTCGTCATCAGCGTGGTCATCGACAGCATCTTGAGACTGATGCACGTCATCAGCATCGTCATCGGCAGCATCTTGAAAATCATAGTTGTCATCATCATCGTCATCGGCACTCTCTTGAAAGCCATGCTCGTCATCAGCATCGTCTTCGACAGCATCTTGAGACTGATGCACGTCATCAGCATCGTCATCGACAGCATCTTGAAAATCATAGTTGTCATCATCATCGTCATCGGCACTCTCTTGAAAACCATGCTCGTCATCAGCATCGTAATCGACAGCATCTTGAGACTGATGCACGTCATCAGCATCGTCAACGACAACATCTTGGAAATCATAGTTGTCATCATCATCGTCATCGGCACTCTCTTGAAAGCCATGCTCGTCATCAGCATCGTCATCGACAGCATCTTGAGACTGATGCATGTCATCAGCATTGTCATCGACAGCATCTTGAAGCGAATACATGTCATCAGCATCGTCATCGGCAATGTTTTGAAACACGTGGTTGTTGCCACCATCGCCGCCGACAGCGCCTTGATAACAATACTCGTCATCATCAGCATCATCATCGTCCTGTCCGTAGCTGTTTCCAGGCTCAAGCTTCGAGGTAGAGCAGCCCTACCGTAGAGCAGAAGATGCCCCGCATGCCTCCGATGGAGGAGAGCAAGATGAGCAGCCGCACCGTCGAGCAGAGGATGAGCAACAGCGGCTGGAAGAGTCCAGGGGCGGGGCGGCGCCTGCGCGGCAAGCAGGCGCCGCCCCCCCCAAATCTCGACGCGGGCGCCGATGTCCAAGGAGGAGAAGCTGAGGAGGAACAAGGAGAGCCAGCGGAGGAGCAGATTCAGGGCCAAGGCGAAGGCCAAGGCGACGGGGCAGGGCGAGATCATGAAGAAGCCCTCCTCGTCTTCTTCCGCTTCTGCGGGTTCGTCTTCGTCTGAGTCGGTGGTCATGGGTCGGAGCTATTCCTCTTCCTCCTCCTCCTCCTCCTCCTCCTCCTCCTCTGACTCTGACTAGAAGCAGCGGGAACAGCTTTCGGAACCCGAGAGGACGAAAAATGCATCATGCAGTTGTCTGTAGCAGGCTTGGTTCTCAGCATTACGCGATAGTGGAGGTAGTAGGAGAAACGCACAGCACCCCACGAGCACCCCCAGGAAGGGCCCAGGGGGGGTGACTTAGGAGGGGACACACAAGGGGCCCACGAGAGGGTTCTGGAGGACACCCATAAATGAACCCAAAACAAACCCAGCCAGAAATGTGCATGGGGAACAATCATGCCGCATCGTCTCGATAGCCAGAGTCCCAGAGGAGACCCCACGACAACATGTGT